AGAGCTGTAGACACACTGATTCAAACCCTTTGGAAAAATCTTCGCCCTAGGGAAAGTGAAGCTTTTCCCCAAAGGGTCCAAAAGACCTGAATGAAGCTACATGATAAGTTTCTTTGAAAAGTGAAAATAACTTTTATCCAAGAAGTTGTTGGATCCTAGGATTTTGGGTAAAGGATTCCTGACCTGTACCTGCTGAACTTGGATGCAAACCTTTTGTAATTCATGCTTGAGGGCTCCCAAATCCTTCTGTTCCATAACTATCTGCAGTCTTTCTCAGTTAAAACAATATTCAGCTCCTTCGTTCTTCCTGCCAAAGAGCAAAACTTCACATTTTTCCATATTATAGTTTATCTGCCAAGTTATTGCCCACTCACTTAACACATTTATATCGCTTTGTGTCATCATCCTCACCTATTTTTGTGTTATCTGGAAACTTGGTAATATTACCCGCACTTTCTTCATCCAAGGCAGTAATATATATTGTAAATAATTGTGGCTGCATCGGTGATCCCTGGGACACTCTGTCAGTTACAGGTTTCGAGCATGAAAGTGCCCCTTATCCCAACTTGCTGTCTTCTATTAGTTAGCCAATCCTCTAACCATGCTGATATATTCTCTCCATGTGCTCCTAGCTCCAGAAGTAGTTGAATGTGAGATAGCTTCTTAAATACCGTTTGCGAATCCAAATATATTCCATCCACTGCTTCACCTTTACTGATCCTCCTTGTTACTGCCTCAAAGAATTGAGATAAATCTGTCATGATGTCCCTTTATGAAGCCACGCTAACTCTGCTTGATCATAATATGTATTTCTAAATGCTCGGCTCTACAGCCTTGATAATAAACTCTAACATTTTCCTAAAGACAGATGATAAACTATCTGGTCTACAATTAACTTGTCTCTGTCTCCCTCACTTTTTGAATAAAGGTGCTACATATCTAGTTTTCCAATCCCCGAGACTTTTCCAGGATCTAAGAATTTCTGGAATATTATGACCAGTCTATCCACTGTCTTGGTAGCTTTTTCCTTTAATATCCCAGGATGCAAAATGTTAGGTCAAGCGAATAGATTGGCATCCAGCTCCATTAGCTTCCTGAATGCTTTTTCTCTGGTGCTAGCTATTGGATTTATTTCCTCTCCTCCTTTAGCCCCTTGAATATTTAATTTTTTTTAAATTGTTAGTGGCTTCTACTGTGAAGGCTGAGGCAAAGTATTTACTCAACTGCTCTGCTATTTCTTGTTTCACAAAATTTATTTCCTTAGCTTTATTTTTAAGGAGTCATCGAAGTCTACAGCACAGAAAAAGACCCTTCGGCTCATTGCATCTACACTGGGCAAAAACAACCACCCAACTATTCAAATCCCATTTTCCAGCACTTGGCCCATAGCCTTGTATGCCTTAGCATTGTAAGAGCACATCTAAATAATTTTTATATCCATCCACCAAAGGGAAATGTTTTTTCCTGTCTATCCTATGACCCTCATTATTTTGTATATCTCAATCCCATCCCCTCTCAACCTCCTGTGCTACAAGGAAAACTTCAGTCTGTCCAGCCTCTCTTCATCAGTGAAACTCTCGAGCCCAGACAACATCCTGGTAAATCTCCTCTGCACCATCTCCAGTGAAGTCGCATCCCTCCTATAATGTGGATTCCAGAACTGCACACAATACTCCGGCTGTGGCCTAACTGATATTTTATACAGTTCCAGAATCACCTCCCTGCTTTCAAATTCTATGCCTCAGCTAATAAAGGCAAGAATCCCATAATTCTTCTTAACCACATTATCCCTCAGTTCCGCTACCGTAAGAGACCAATGTAAGTGTAAACCAAGGTCCCTCTGATCCTTGGTGCTTCTCAGGGTCCTACTGTCCATCATATATTCCCTTGCATTGTTGTCCTGCTCAAGTGCATCACCTCACAGTTTATCCAGATTGAATTCCATTAACTTGTGTTCTCTTTAGCCACTCTCTTTTAATATAATTAAAGAAACTTTTACTGTTCATTTTGATAGTATTTGCTGGTGTACCCTCACAGTTTATTTTTTCCCTCTTCATTACATTTTGGTCACATTTTGTCTGTTTTTAAAACTTTCCCAATCCTCTGGCTTATCACTAATCTTTGCCACATTGTATGTTTATTTTTCTTTTGATTTGATACAGTCCTTAATTTCCTTGGTTAACCATGTTTGGTTTCTCCATTTCCTGGAATCCTTCTACCTCACTGGGATATACTTTGTTCTGAGTCATGAAGTATTTAGATAATTGTCTGCCATTGTTCATTAACCATCTTTTCTGCTAAACTCCTTTCCCAATACACTTCAGCCAAATCTGGCCTCATTCTTTTGTGCTTACTCTTATTGAAGTTTCACTCAGTTGTTTCTGACCCAAGTTCCTCAAACTCAAACTGAATGCTAAATTCTATCACTGCGTTGTGGGAGTACTGTTATTCTGGCATCATTTATTACACTTGCCTCATTATACATCACCAGATCCATATAATCTGATTGCTGGTTGGATCCACAACACATCATTCTAGAAAATAGTCCCAGATACACACCATGAGTTCTTCCTCATGGCTTCCTCTGCCAATCTGACTATCCCAATTTGCATGAAAATTAAAGTCATGATTAACATATTACCTGCCCTCATTATCTCCTGATTTATCCTCTAGCCTAACGCATAGCTAGCTACTGTTAAGGGTCTTATAGACAACTCCAAATAGTGTCTACTTCACCTAATTATTTCTTCGCCCATAGGGCTTCTACACCATCTGATCCAAATCACTTCTTGCTTTTGTACTTATTCCGTCCTTTGCCAACAATGCTACCCCAACAACCTTTCCTTCCAGCCTGTCATTTCAAAAATATTCAGTTCCCAGCCTTGGTCTCCTTGTAGCCATGTCTCCTAGACTTCACATCCTCTATTTAATTTAAAGTCCGTTCTATAGCCCTAATTGTTCAATGTGTCAAGACATTGTGTTGTAACATTATCATCATCTCATATTGTGGGCTCCTTCAATGGTAGATGTTACAAATTTGGATCAGGTAGTGGTTCAGTGGCTTCAGTCTCTCCTGCACTTGCTCGAGTGGTAGCTCACACACTACCCTGTATTAACGGGAATGTTACAGCAACCCAGGGATAAAACATTCAAACATCCTTGAAACCTGAACTGTCTTCCATGTGCACATACCTTTAATTGCATTGAATGCAAATAGAACAGTCAATGCGATTTGTTCTGATATGAATCAATACCTGCTTTATTTCACAATAAGGAACAGCAGTTATGATTGACTTGACTCAATTCAAGCAGGATAACATACCTTCTCAAAAATTATAAAATAAACAACAAATCATATTTTCCAACATTGTGACACGATGGATCATTTTTCTGAAAATCTGCTCCAAATATATTGCAGTCTTTCGTTCTCTTGGGATCTCCAAGCCCCTAGCCTGGCCCTGACTCTGGATTGTGAACAACTGCGAGTGGAAAGACTGTCAAACCCTATGCTGGATGACTGGCACTGCCAACTCCCAACACAATGGGCAGGATCATTGCTTCAGGGTTGGCACAATAATATTGGAGGATGGTGTTTGCTTGTTTATGGCCATCACCACTTGCTGAAGGTGGGCAGGCCTCCCAGGAGTCAAGGTGGGAACTGCTACTGTGGGAGGACCAGGGTGGGGGGGGAGCGAGTGATGAGAGAGCACCTCGAGGTGAGACCAGGGAGAGGAGTATGGGATCCCTAATGAAAGAAATATCCCCCAGCCCCTCCCTCAGTGCAGTCGCTGCTGTTACGGTCTTCCTCGTGGATCCTTTAAAAGCCTCTGGGTTTTTATCACTAGCCGTCCCTCAACTCACCCTCTCAAGTCCAAAAGACTCAGAGTGGGGCCAAGGTTCTGGCTCCAATTCTCTCCCTCCCTCTCTGTTTATCTCTCTGTCTCTCGCTCTCTCTCTCAATCTTTCTCTCTCCCTCCCTCTCTGTTTCTACTTCTCTCTCTCTTTCTCTCTTCTTCCCTCTGTCTCTGTTTTTCTCTCTCTCTTTCTCTGTCTCTGTGTCTTTCTCTCTCCCTCCCTCTCTCTCTGTCTCCCTCTGTATCTTTCTATCTTGATCTGCTGTCTCTGCCCCTCCCTCTGTCTCTGTCTCTCTCTTTCGCTCTCTCTCTTCCTCTGTCTTTCACTCTCCCTGTCTCTCTCCCCCGTCTCTCTCTTTCTCTCTCTCCCTCCGTCTGTCTCTTGTCTCTTCCTCTGTCTCTCTCTATCTCTCCTTCTCTCTCTCTATCTCTCCCCCTCTCTTTTTCTTTCTGTCTCTATCTCCCTCCCTCTCTGTCTCTCTCTCTGCTCTGTACCTGCCCCTCCAGTTCGCAGCTCCGCCCAGAGCCGGCACATCCCGGGGCCGGATGCCACACTCTCCCCGGGATCACAGGCGGAGGATGGACAGGATCCTGACCCAGAGCCAGGCAGGGGATGGGAGGGAAGGAACGAATGAGGGAGTAAATGAGAGACAGAGAGAGTGTGAATGAGGAGTAAGTGACAGAGGGAGAATGAAGCGGGGGAGGGGGCGTGCAGGATCAGGAGGAGGTTGTCCCGGGGG